GCAGCAGAACGGCTGGTATGGAGAAAATTATTCCTATTAAGGTTGGTGCTAAAGTTATGTTGCTTAGAAACATTGACGTCACTGTGGGGCTAGTTAACTCCGCCATTGGAACAGTAACGGGGTTGAGGTTTAATACAGACAATTCTGATGACGTAGACTCAGTGACAATTAACTTTGATTGTGGCATTACCCATCACCTACAGCGAGTAAACGTCAAGTTTCAAGTTATGGATAACGCATTTGTGTATCGAGAGCAATTCCCGATATCGATGTCCTACGCGGTTACAATTCACAAATGCCAGGGCCTCAGCTTAAATAGCGTAATAATTGATATTGGGGAGTCCATATTTACATGTGGCCAATCATATGTTGCCTTGTCACGAGTGACTTCATTAGAAGGGCTTCATCTTATTAACTTTAACCCAAGAGATGTGAAGCCTCAGAAATCCGCCATTCTCGAATACAACAGACTAAGGCAGAAGTACAGGTCTGACCTTCCACTTTACAACACAAGTTGTGACTCCTCTTCGGCTCCTTATGTGAGAGACAGGAAGTGGTGCCAGACCAAAAATGTCGAAAAAGTGCAGGATGAGAGTACAAAACCGGTACCCTCTGCAAAGACTACCGGAAGATCGAGAGTTCAGTCAACTTTAGCATTAAGAGGGTTTGAGAACAATGATCGTGTGTCTTGTTATGCGAATGTTGCAGTTCAGATACTGTATTCTGTTCCGTACATCAGAGAGATAATAAAGAACTCTGAACTAATTTGTCCTGAGTTAAAACAACATCTTCATGATTACGAAGTTTCTCCCTCGGAGGTTGTTTTAGATACAGTGGTTATAAGAAATCTCCCTAACAACAATACATATACCCTGACAGAGCAGCAAGACTGTGCTTTGTTCTTGCTGGACTTATTGGAGACAAACAAGGGCATTATAGAAGCCATCTCATACAGCACGGTGAAAACCACAAAATGCCAGCACTGTCATTACACATTCACAGGGCAAGAAGAGACAGACAATATAATCAGAATCCCCGTGGTGGCTGGTAAGGTAACGCTAAAAAATCTTTTAAGCCTTACGATAAACAACTGGGAGCCCTTGTTAGATTATGTGTGCAGTAATGATGAATGCGGCCAACGAGGATCGAGCCTGGGCAAGGTACACGTTACAAAGTCAAACCGCTGTGTTATCTTACAATTTTTAATCTTTGACAACAACCTACAAAAGATAACCGCAACAAACATAGTAGGAGTCCCAAGTGCTCAAGTGACTATAGGTAATAAAACATATAGACCTACAGCAGCAATTTTTCATCACGGAGATGCAATATCACGAGGGCATTACACTTGTACCATAAAGACATCTTCAGGTTGGACAACAGCCAATGATGAACAAATATCAAATCAAAGATGGCCCATTGGTTCAAAGAATTTGTACATGCTGTTATTAACAGAACAGTAGAAGCAGCAGTTATTACTTTGTTACAACAGTAAAAGATATCGAACATATTCTACGAGTCGTGGGTTGATGACCACTACCTAACTAGACCAGACGAACTAGAAGATATGAACTTATACGACTTTGTGAGATGGTACGATATAGCTGCTCAACCACCTAAAGGCGACCGTGAAGTGCATAAGTTGAATTCAGGCAAATTCCTCACTAAAAGAGTCAGACCATGCTTACTGAATCACTATAAGTACAGCCCCACTCAGGATCCTGAAAAATACTACCATGCATTACTTCTTATGTTTCTTTGTTGGAGATCTACTGATGAGCTGAAAGAGTCTCATGAAACATACACAGATGCTTTTATGGCCAAGCGGACACTTCTCACTCAAGCCTTCAACTATGACAAACGTTTAAAAGACATTATTGCGGCATCGGAGAATGCAAGAGACAAAATTCAAAACCGAGTTGAAGAGATCAATGCAGAAGAAGGAGAGGTTGCTGATCCATCCAATATAGCCTTTCAGCCCTTTAATGAACCTGTCCCCGCATCCCAGCCTGTCAGGGACAGCAATTGGTCGCCGAATGACGAGCCGTTTGAGAAAAAATACCAAAAACTCAATGACGACCAAAAGAGAGTGTTTGATTATGTCAAACGAGTTGTTGCAAACTCTGATGGGACAGATAAATTTCTCAGACATTTTGTAAGTGGTGTGGGAGGTACTGGTAAGAGTTTTCTCATAAAAACTATCAGCTCTTGGACTAAAAAATGTCTTCAAGCCTCTACATCAATATCAGCTCCCACAGGACTAAGTGCTTACAACATCAATGGTTCTACGATCTACAAAGTGTTTCAGCTGCCAGTTGAGCATGGAAAAACTCCAAAGTACAAAGCTCTTACTGATGATGTTTTAAAAATGTTGAGATCCAACCTGAAAGATGTGGTGCTCTTCATAATAGACGAAGTGTCCATGGTCTCCAATCTAACATTGATGTACATAAATCTCAGATTGTGTGAAATATTCAACACCTCAGACCAAAGTAACGGCTGGTTTGGTAAAAAACATATACTGCTCTTTGGAGACCTTTTACAACTTCCACCAGTACACGAAGACTCCCCTTCATTCATTTCTCGACATTCATTGAACTTGACAGTAGCAAACTTAGTTCTTTTGTTGGCTCTCTGTCTTGTGTTAACATCTGGTCTGAACAGTTCTCTTATGATGAACTTACTACAAACATGCGACAAGCTCAAGATTCTAAGTTTGCTGATGTGTTAAGCAAAGTCAGAGTAGGCAATATGACCGTTGAGGACATCCGTCTAATTGAAAGCAAGAAAATACATCTTAATGGAAAAACTGCTTGTGAAAACCTTTCTCTATTAGGAGATTACTTGTCTGCTTTACCCAACAATTCTGTGTGTCTTTGTTCAACTGGTTACCAATGCTCCATAATAAATGATGAAATGGTCAATAGAATAAGTGGTCCTGTTGCAACATTTGCAACAGTCCTTGTTTGTAAGTGGTCCTTGTTTGCAACTTGGTTGCAAAAGACTCAGTTGACTGTCTACCTCGTCAACAAAACAAAGTTAAAAAGATACTGTCCTCTTACAACTCTGACTGCAGCAGAACGGCTGGTATGGAGAAAATTATTCCTATTAAGGTTGGTGCTAAAGTTATGTTGCTTAGAAACATTGACGTCACTGTGGGGCTAGTTAACTCCGCCATTGGAACAGTAACGGGGTTGAGGTTTAATACAGACAATTCTGATGACGTAGACTCAGTGACAATTAACTTTGATTGTGGCATTACCCATCACCTACAGCGAGTAAACGTCAAGTTTCAAGTTATGGATAACGCATTTGTGTATCGAGAGCAATTCCCGATATCGATGTCCTACGCGGTTACAATTCACAAATGCCAGGGCCTCAGCTTAAATAGCGTAATAATTGATATTGGGGAGTCCATATTTACATGTGGCCAATCATATGTTGCCTTGTCACGAGTGACTTCATTAGAAGGGCTTCATCTTATTAACTTTAACCCAAGAGATGTGAAGCCTCAGAAATCCGCCATTCTCGAATACAACAGACTAAGGCAGAAGTACAGGTCTGACCTTCCACTTTACAACACAAGTTGTGACTCCTCTTCGGCTCCTTATGTGAGAGACAGGAAGTGGTGCCAGACCAAAAATGTCAAAAAAGTGCAGGATGAGAGTACAAAACCGGTACCCTCTGCAAAGACTACCGGAAGATCGAGAGTTCAGTCAACTTTAGCATTAAAATTTATTTTTTTTTTCAGAGAAAAGAGTATTTTTATTTGAACGGTTAATTTTCTACAAAAATAAATAAAATCTAACAAAAAACCACTAAGTGGTAACACTTTCCCCGCCAAGTCAGCAATCCAAAAAAGATAATAAATCATTACTTTTTCCGCCAAGAAAAACAATGTAATGTATGTAAGTTTGGCAACTTGGCGGCAGACTTTTGCTTGGTTTTTTTTCATTTAAGTTACGTTCGTGGATAATTTCACAAATCAACTTCTCTAATTAATTAGTCCAACTAAGTATAATAATTTCGAGGTAATCAGTAAATATAAAACCATCACTATTATGATTTTATGAAATGTGGCACAAATAAGGTCAAGTTTTGTAAAATAAGCTCTCACCTAGCAATGTACTAATGGGAGAGATACTTGCTCAATGAAACTAGTTTTATGGTATTTTTAAAGTGATCGAGCAAAAGTCTGCCGGCAAGTTGCCAAACTTACATACATTACATTGTTTTTCTTGGCGGAAAAAGTAATGATTTATTATCTTTTTTGGATTGCTGACTTGGCGGGGAAAGTGTTACCACTTAGTGGTTTTTTGTTAGATTAATTAATATAAAAATCATCTATACACAGTCCATTTGCAACAGGCTAAGTGCTCACCTTCAAGTGTGAAGGATGCTGGTTCCCTTCTGAGCGGAATCAATTCTAGCCCCTATGGTGCCTTAATTGTCATTGGGTTATCAAAAATTATTTTATCTGACAAGAGGTTGACGTTAAATAGTAATTAGACCAAAGTTTTTACCATTCCCAAAACAAAATTTATGAAAAAATGCAGATGGGGAGAAAGCTAGAAAACTAGACAGTTTTAGGAAACATAGTTGCTAAAACCAACAAAAGTTAGGGGCATTTAAGTTTTAATCAAACAACAATAAAAATTGCAAAAACACAAAACTTTAAATAGGCTAATAATGCTCAAAATTGCCTACCAAACACAATTAAAATCACACAGTCTGAGGATACAAGCTAACAATAACTAGAACTGTGTACTGTGTACGCCTACTAATATCTTTATGGGTAGCTATAGATAGTTTAAATAAATAATGTTATCTTCTGCTGAACGCCGGCTCAAATTACAGATACTAAAATGTTGTGAAATTATTCTTTTACTTGTCAATAAAGGGAAATCCGCAATAATCCTTTAACCAAAAAGCAATACCAATACAAAACGTTGAATGAGTTGGAATAAAGAAACTTGCTTTGAATATAATTAAAAACTTACACGTTTCAACCGGAGGCACTGACATACTTTGTCCTCATTAGAATAAGGCTGCCAACTGAGACTGATGAAATGACCCCAAAGAGGGGGTGTCACAAGATCGATCTTCTTCACAAGTGTGGCACTCCGGTTTGAACCAAAAGTCAAGAAGAACACTGGCCTTGCCTGGCCCATCTCAAAGTTTCTTGAGACAGACACCAAATCAGTTGTAAGTTTGCGGAAAAGCTGAAAGCAACATCCAATTAATAAGATTTGCAAAAATAGTTAAGTCACTAAAACATTTGAAATAAAATAAGACATTATCATCATTAACATTAAATAATATAGGTATGTTAACTGTGGATACAACAAAGTGTTTTCTGAAGGATGACAAATATTATTTAAATTAATACTTTAATACTCTTAATGAAATGGCGAGCATACAAAGCCAAGTATGAATGGAGATGAGTGTAGGATGAGTGGCACAAATCTTGTAATCTTGTTAGTGACTAAGGCCAACATATTCCTTAGACACAGCTGTTAATTAATAACAGCTTAATTATTATCAATTAATAGCCTATACAGCTAATGGCAACTAAGGGACCTACAGTTTATAGTGGAATCTGAACCACACTTTAGCCTTGGTATTTTAACAAATTGGTCTAATTATCAGGATAGTACTGCGGATAGTCATAATACTCACTAGTGCAGACGTTAATCCACACCAGGGAGTATCGTATCCACAGTGTGTGCCTATAAATATCCATACATGTAGAGAAGACATGGGTGAAATTGCGGTTCACAATAATTCATTTAAGCTCTAATAATCTTGTCTGGCTGAAAATCGGAGAGAGGAGAGACTGGTTGTAAAAAATTAAGTCTGCATTTGGATATACTCTATGGAGATTAAAATGGTTAAATTCCCCATTAGTTTTCACAATCAAAATTAAAGAGTGTAGGCCTAACTTATTGAGATACTTAGATACTGAAAATAACTTTTTAAATACGACTTTTGCTGCAGATTTGTTTAGAAATTGGTGTCATTATTGGTTAGTATTGTTACAATGCTTTTTAAATGTTGAAAATGTTTACTTTCAAAGTTGTATTTTCACTAAAATATTCCTTTAAAATGTTCAGATTTTTCCATTTTTAGCTTATTTTCCATATAGGGAATTTAAGCTATTACCAAAGGTCTCATGGTAAAACCTGGACCCGGGACTGATTAACTTTTTCGTTTTGATGTCCCCAGAGAAGCCAAAAAAACCATCCGTTCAAAATGTTATTTTTAACTTAGGCCCCCTACCTATATATAGCCTAGATTTATAAACTTATATGTGTCCAACACCGCGATTTAACCTTGAGTAATTTTTGTCAGATACTGATGAAATTTTGTTTTAAGGTGTAGGGTGGACACTAACTGAGGTGTCATTCGCTTAAATGAGGCCAAAAACACCATCCGTACCTATATCTATAAAAGAGGAAGTATGTATGTATGTACCCTAAGGACTCCGAAATCACTCGACAGATTGTAATGAAACTTCCAGCCATTATTAAGCATTATTCAAGGATGGTTTGTGTGAAGTTTGGTGTAGATCCGTCAAAAGAGCTCCGCCCCAGTGGGTTTTAAGGGGTCCAATTGTTGTAATATTTGATACTCTGCCTTTCCTTCTTTACTTTACGTTTAAATTGTTAAATCATGTGTTCCTATTTATGTTTTTGTTAATTGACTGTTTATACACAATTCCTAACATGTTCCAAGTGACAATCTTAGGTCAATTAAAGACTTATTCTGTTCAGGTAACTACTTTATTTTCTATTACACCAATGTTGAGACTTTTGGTGATACAATGTTTACAAATAAATATAATTCAAAAGCAGATGTTTACTTTCACCAACTGTTTTGTAGGTTTGAATAATCCACAACATTCTGTATTAGTCATGATTTGAAATAATGCCACACTGTTTCCACAGAATGCAGCACAGAAAACTAATTTATTTTTGTTTAAGTCCAAATATATTAAACCCAATTGCAGCACACCTGTGCACTCAACAATGTTTTAATTCTTAACTATTAAAAATGTTAAGATAAAAAGTAAAAACCTGTACATCATATTGTTATCAACAATAAAAGGGATTAAATTACCTTAATATTTTTATTGTGTGTTCTACCCACACAATCTAACATAAATTATTAAGTGAAAAATAATCGTGTGAGCTATCTCAGGTAGCCTATTCAAATGCCTCACAATTAGTCAATTAACCCACCACATTACTGTCATTAAAAGAAGAAACTCCAATAATACTAATGCAAAACTTAAATCTACCCAAGCAGTGCAACGGAACCAGACTGACGATTTAAATAATGGCACTATACTTACAATCATCAGTGGTAAGTTTAAAGGAGAATTTAGGCTATAATAGGCTAGTCGAAATCCCAAGAATACCGATGATTTCATCATCAAATCAAATCAAATCAAAATCCTTTATTTCGTTGTAACGTACTTTCTCAGGTTTTTACCTTTGTACAGCATTCAGACCTTTTCGGGGATTTTAGGACTCAGATTGACTGAACACTTGCATGGATTACAACACATTTATTATTTCAGGACTATTTACACAAAAAAAACTATATACTATATTTACAACTCTCTTCTGTTCATGAAGCCCAACCTGTGGCTTCTCCCACTTGCTCCACGGCTCTCAGGAGTCCTAACAGCACGGCTCTACAGGCTTCTCCTCTCGGCTCCGGCAGACCTTTTCTCTCGGCTCCTGCAGTCCTCTCCTTGGCTCCTGTAGTCCTCTCTTCGGCTCCTGCAGTTCTCTCCTTTCGGCTTCTGCAGCCCTCTCCTCTCGGCTCATGCAGTCCTCTAACTGGCTCCTGCAGTCCTCTCCTCTCGGCTCCTGCAGTCCACTAGCAGGTTCCTGCAGTCCTCTCCTTCTCTCAGCTCCTGCAGTCCTTTAACTGGCTCCGTCTTGGGAAGTGCTGGGCGGCTCACCAACCAGAGCCCAAACGCAGCAGCTCCACACGATGCCACCAGTCTCGCTGTCGGACGTCGACTCCTCTGTCTCGAGAAGTGCTGGGCGGCTCACCAACCAGAGCCCAAACGCAGCAGCTCCACACGATGCCACCAGTCTCGCTGTCGGACGTCGACTCCTCTGTCTCGAGAAGTGCTGGGCGGCTCACCAACCAGAGCCCAAACGAAGCAGCTCCTTACAAGGTAGCCTGTCCCACTGTCGGATGCGGACTGCCCGAGAAGTGCTGGGCGGATCGATGTCCCAAGCGCAGCAGCTCCTCGCAATGTCGCCAGTAACGCTGACGGATGTCAACTCCCATCTCTCCTAGACGGCACTCTTCTTACATAGTGGAGGTGGGCCTCTTAATCCCCCTCCAGACGGATTCATGGTCCCGGGAGGCAGCTCCATTGGCCACCGGGGACTTTAACTGAAATAAAATGGATGCTGGGGCTCAACACACCAACCAGCTGCACCGGGCTCAACACGCCTCTAGTGCCGGAACGGAATGTGCTCTAGTGCTGGGGAACGGGATGCACCGAGCTCAACACGCCTCTAGTGCGGGGGACGGGATGCACCGAGCTCAACACGCCTCTAGTGCGGGGGACGGGATGCACCGAGCTCAACACGCCTCTAGTGCGGGGGACGTGATGCACCGAGCTCAACACGCCTCTAGTGCGGGGGACTGGTTGCACCGAGCTCAACACGCCTCTAGTGCGGGGAAGGGACCCACCGGTGGCGCCTACCGGCGGGAGCAGGCCCGGAGGCCCAACTCACGAAGTCCCTCAAGGATGCTCCTTATATAGGGCCAGAAAGTGCTTGGAGGGTGGGGGGAAGTACCCAGTACCGGCCGCCCGGCGAAAGTACTGGGCACTTTTCCCTCAGTTCTTTTCCCTCGTGTCACTGAGCACCTTTTCCTGGTGTTTTCCCTCAGGTCTTTCCCTCAGTGCTTTTTCCTCATATCACTAAGTACCTTTCCTGGATTTTACCTCTGGTCTTCTTAAACACTTCATTACATCGTATAAAATAGACAATATTTTCAAAATGTAATATATGCAATAGAAATAGGTTTTAAAATGTGTAACTAAAAATAAACGAAACTAATCCCACATAGGATAACCCGTGCATCCGTGCGTGGGAATGAGTCGTATGATGTTTGATTAGAAAGAATTGAGAAGGTTTGATAATCCGAGTTACCCTTTGAATACAAGCAGCTACGATTTCCTTTGCGTCACCATTATAAGGCACAGGGGCAATCCCTGACTATGGCCAGTTTAAATTTAGAAAATGCATGCTTTTACACGGACAGCTGTATGTTGAGGCTCACGTGGTTGTAGGTAAAAACCTTGAAAACTACCTAGGTATATATTTATTCACCTAATGATTAAAACAAAAACATTGTTTATCCTTACTTATGGTACGGTACTTACTTTCCGTGTCCGGAAATCAGACTTCGCTTTTCCAAAAATTAGCTACCGATATGGCTTTGTCATTCGCTTGTAAAAGATCATCTAATGTGCAAGACTGGTCTAGGCGTGGACAGATCAGCAGGATCCTGAACAGCACCACACGCGCACAAGATGTTTTCTTCGTCTGGTAAGAGACCCCATTTCTGCATGTTTGTCTTGCATTTTGGTACCTCGACCCTGATTCGATTTAGGGTCTTCCACACCGTGTAATGAAGGCCTCCACCAGGAGCCAGTTCCTCCCTGGCTGGTATGGGAGGGTTAGTCAACGTGGCCATTGTTTATCCACTGGCAATTAAGTCAAATAAATATTTTTGTTTCGGTATAGGCATACATTTTTTTAATTTATGATACCGTAGTAAAGAACAAATTACCATTTAAAATAACAGTTGTTAGCGCAGCAACGTGCGCCGGGTAACTGCTAGTTCGTATAGCCTATATAGATGTGTCTGTTAGCACAATAGGCTAACTCAAATAAAAATGATCAGATTTTGTTAAAATTTGGTAAACGTGTAAACCTACATTTTATTCTAACGAGTTTGCTAACCAGCACGATCGGACCACGGAAACAGGGGTTTATGGGGGTAAAAGTGGGTTTTCCCATAATTTTTGAATTTCCTTTATAACTTACCCCTTTAAATTGTTTAAAAAAATAATTTAGTAAAATTTAGTGTAAATTTAAAATTCCCATTATACCGGTATTGTTATGGAGAAAATGAAAAGTGTTGTAGTTGACTTGTTTATGGACAGAACCCCGGTTAACCGAAATAAGTTGAAGGGGGAGAGCCGTTTCGGATAACCAATTTTTCAGTTAACCCATCATAACTTATGCTAAAAATAGCCAATGTATCATCACAGTGTGTAGGAAAAATGAATTTAAGAGAATATCTACTATATAATTCCTAGTGTTTTATTTCAACTACTGTTACGGGTGGCGTCGTCCTGTAATCCAGCTACTAGGAGGTCACGAATTGTGGATATTCATAGGCATGCACTGTGGATGCGATACTCCCTGGTGTGGATTAACGTCCGCACGAGTGAGTAGGTGGTTCGGATTCCACTATAAACTGTAGGTCCCTTAGTTGCCATTTAGCTGTATGGGCTAATTAATTAACAGCTGTGTCTAAGGAATGTCGGCCTTAAACAACAACAACAAGACTACAAGATTGCGCCACTCATCTCCATTCATACTTGGCTTAAAATAGCCTACCTACTATGTATGGTCGCCATTTCATTGAACAGTATTAACAGTATTAACAGAAATACAAGGCAAAAATGTTAGGATTAGAAAATACCTTAAACCAGATAACTGAAGTTATCAAAGCATTTTACAGCCCTACATTAAGTATATTATTTTATAGAACCATTTCAGTTAACCCGGGATTTGGTTAACCCGAATTTGGTTAACAGGGGTTGTAGGTACTGTACCGGTAGGTACTGTATGTTGATAAAATTTTGCCAATTTATTTATTTCATCCTATACCAGTACTATTAGGGTTTGGTCAAAAAACACTTTTTACCTTCCCCGTAGCAGCAAACCTAAGCACTTGTTAAATCTAATGTTATTTAAATTGTGAATAAAAATATGTCCTGCTTATGGAAATATTTTAGTAAAAATGTAATCAGTAAAGTTGAAATTCGCTTAAACTTAGTCAATTAGGCATAGACAATGGGCCGAGTGAATAAAAACAAGTACCGGTACAGCAAGTATTTACTTGCGACTCTTTACTTGCAAGTAATTACTTCCTAATTAGGGTTGATCCACCGCCAGAAGTAATTGTATGTATATATTGTAAATAGAATTTATCAAATAGGCTAGTATTTTTCATTTTTTTTTTACTATGACACAACCTATCCGGCAAAGCTGGTCTTGGTGAACAGGAAGGTAATCAGGTAATCAGGTAAATGAGAGGGTATACTCACTGATCTGAGGGTATACATGCAAGTATTTACTACTTCCAAAGTACCCACAGTACGAGTAAATACTTGCAGCTTATTCCTCATAAAAAATTTGCTTTTTTCCCTACTATTAAGTTCAAACGGGTTTCCCTATGTGCTCTTACGTGTATATATATTCACTTGTTACTAGTGAACAGCACTGCTGAGTACGTGTGAAACTATAAGTAATAGTTGAATGTGCATACGTTCACTACAAGGGCAGTTCTAGACCTATATTTTTGGGAGGGAATGTTGCAGGAGGTTCTGGAGGTCCTTCCATGCCACGGAAAAGTTTTAACACTACGTGCTCAAATGAGAGATTTTTAAGCTATTTTTAGGCTTAAAACAGTCCCACGTTCAGTTGAAAATGAAAAAAAAAATTGAATCTATTTTTTGGACTCTTGAATTAAGGTTCCATCTTTACCCCAAGCATTAGTTTGCGGAAATCACTCAAGTTATACATCATTTAAATGTATTACACTGTACTGAATGTGTTGCATGCATTTTTCAACAAGTAAACTCAAACAAGCATGGGTTACTGATAACTTGTTGAAAAACAAGTATTTACTCTTTAGGCAAGTATTTGCTCGTGGTTATTCACACCAAATTTATAGGCTTATTTATAGGCTTCTGAGGGTATACTTCCTTGGCAAGGCTTTACTTACAAGTACAAGTAAATACTTGTTCTTATTCACTTTTGTTCAAGTAAATACTCAAATTATGAATATTTAAGACAAGTAAACTCTTTTACTTGTTTTTATTCACTCGGCCCAATAGACTAGGCCCAAAGGATTTAGGCCTAATGTAGCCTAGTTAATAATTTTAATAGGCTAAGTTAGGCTAACTTATCTAGGCCTATTACTTACATCTTCCACCTCTTCCGTTGTGACGTTTGTGGAACATCCTAACAACATCAAGGTCCTGTGGTCGTTTGAATCAGTAGCCCGAAGGTGTCCAAGGAACTTCCCATCTTTGATGAGGTGGTAGCCGTTTAAGATAGGTTTGGCCCGGGCAGCACACTCTGGATCTAAATAACTCACGAAGGCATAGCCCTTGTTATCATTCGTACGGGTGACCATTACGCGGAGCTTAAATACTACACCCCCTTTTTGGCATATCTTTAATAGTTCCCAGTGTGAAAAGTTGGGTGGTATTCCTGCTAGGAACACTTCGGACCCCTGCGGAGGAGTGAAAGTTTGGAAAGCCACATGTGGTCCGTATATTCGGCACCCGTTTATCTGTCGACTCGGATACATTTCGGCAGCGGGATGGATGTCTACTTGCGGATTCATAGTTACAATAAAAACAACTTCACTAAACAGAAGTATTTTCCCCACACGCGTTAAAGCTTTGACTAATACAACAACAAAGTTAGTATTTTCACCACACGCACACGTGGTTCGCACCCAAGCCAAGCCAGTCCAAAACGGAAGTCAGTAAGTCAGTGGTCAAGTGGTCAGTCAGTGACCAGTGTTGTCACTCGATCGAAGTCTCTCAGTGGAAAGGCCGAGCCGATAGATCTATTGAATTTCTTTTCTAGCCGTTCAGTGCGGTTCAGTGGTTATAATTCAATTGTTAAAAGAAGGCATTAGAAAAAACAAAGAATAATAAAGTCATCCCCATGCTAATTAATTCAGTTTGCCATTGTGTCCGATAACTTTATAACAATTGGAGAAATTGAAAGTTTGCTTTCGACAAACTGTAAACTTTCTCCGTAGGGAACTGAAGACAAGTTTATATATTCATTTAAAAGGTTATGAATGATAATATATTTGTAGATGTATAACAAAAAGTTACCTGTATAATGATGATATAGGAATTTATTACAATGGAAATTTTACAACAAAGAGTAGCCTACCGGACAATCAGAATTTAACAATTCATTTTTACACAAAAAATTTGAATCCCAGCTCCATCTTCAAATTCCCTCGCTGACCGCAATATCTTTCTAGTTCGTCTCAGACCAAGGACCCACTTGACAAACTAGTTTTTTATAGTGGGGCCTTGCTCAGACTCAGACATATACTCTCTGGTTGCCCTTAAAACTGCACAAATTGTTCTTGATCGTATCCAATTAATTACCAAACTGTATAGTTTTTTTTTCCATTTTTAGAACAATTTTCAGCAATAACCCTTTAAAACATTTGGAATTCAGTATACCATTATCGAGCCGATGTGTTTTTTTACGGTTATTGGTTAGGGGAAAATAAAAAAAATGCAAATTTAAAATTCCTATATGTTATTCTTATGGAGGATTTTAGTTTGCTCGTTTATGGAAATATTTTGATCAAACTTTGCAAATTTGTCTATTTTATAGTAAGCTACTAATATTTTACTAAAAACTAACTTTATTAGCCTCCCTATAGCAACAAACCTAGGTACCCGTTAAACATGATGTTATTTAAATATATTTATTTTAAAATCAATTCAGGCAAATGGAAGTTCCCTTAGTCTGCAAATTTACTGCGGCGGGTAGTTATCCAAACCCAAAGCTAAAGAAAAATACCCCCGCCGCAGCAAACCTGCAGACTAAGCGAATTTCCATTTGCCTGATTGGATTTACACTAAAATGTCTGCTTAAAAATATCACATTTATTCTTTATTTAAATAGAATCAGTTTAAAACATACTTAGGTTTGCTGCAACAGGGAGGGTAAAAGTGTTTTTTTTATGTAAAAGATTAATAGTTAGTAAGAAATAAAAACATTTTCCAAATTTGGGCAAAATATGTTAATAAACAAGCAAACTACAACAGTTTACTTATTCTCCATAAGAATAACATGGGAATTTTACATTTACAATTTTTAGGAATTTTCTCCGTAACCATTAGGCGCATTATAACGCTTTAATATACTATATTATTCATTTTTTTAAGCTCTATAAAATAGTTTGAAAAGAAATTGAAAAATTTTATGTTTTTTGGGTCAAAAATAGGAAAACCCCATTTTTACCCCATAAAAGCCACCATAAACCCCCGTTCCCATGGTCCGATCATGCTGGTTCGCGAACTCGTTCAAATAAACGTAAGTTTACACGTTTGTACCAAATTTCATACAAATCGGATCACATATATATACATATGAATTTGAACGGATGGTGTTTTTGGCCTCTAGGGACCTCAAAACGAAAAAAAAATCGGTCCCGGGTCCAGGTCTTACCATGAGTACTAACCATGGTACTACCATAGATAAAACATACTCCTACTACCTTAGAGTAAATAAAACAAAAGTTTTGTTTTATTTACTCTGAGGTACTACGGTAATAGCTTATTCCCTGTATGGGAAATTCGCTAAAAGAGTGAAAGCAGCTGACTTGGATCCGGGAGTCTAGCCTAGCCACTCCCGTCTTGTCTTTTTCTCTTTTAGGTGAAGAGAAGAGTAAGGTGAAAGTGATAAACAAAAACAAAACAAATTATTCAAAACTGAAAGAAAAGCTGGTTTAGTTTAGTTACTTTAGTTATGTGTTATGTGTGGTTATTTGTTAGTAATTATGTTGTTCAAATCCTCATAGCAAAATGCAACATGCTATTAGCATTGACTTTATATCTACACAAGTGTAGATAGTGTAGATATAAAGTCAATGCTATTAGCATGCAAGCCTATTTTTATGCTAGGTCAGGTTTGTTGAAATGATACCGTAACTGTTTTATAACTCAATAACTCATTTATTTAGCTAGATTAACATTACAAATGCATTAGCCAAGTCAAATTTACTAAAAATAACTATTTACTAACTTTTAAAATAAAATTCGTTAGGACTGTCCGTCAGCGAGAAAGGTGCGGACACTCTGTAGTAGCCTTTACCCACGAGAAATGACCTCAAGTGCCTTTTGATTGAAGCATCCCGGATCTGATGTGGACTTGATTTGAAGTGGGAGAGCATTGAACAGTTTGATGGCATTATAGTTTAGATGTCTTTCAAAGAATGTGGTTGAATGGGCTGGAATTCTCAGATTGAAAGTATTGCGAAGCAGATATGAGTGGGTGGTTGTGGTGTGGAAATGAGAATAATTTGACTTCAGAAAAGTGAGGACTTCTAGAATGTAAATACAGGGAAAAGTTAGAATTGTGGATGATTTAAATACAGCTCTACAAGTTTGTTTGTAGGGAAGGCCGTGAATTATTCTGATAGCTCTCCTTTGAAGGCGAAAAAGGAAATGGGTTCTTGTGCTTTCACCTCCCCATAGTGCAACTGCATATATCATGTGTGGATAAAGTACACCGTAGTAAGCAGTAAGAGTAAGAAGTACATCTTTGTTTGAAAATTTTGCTAGTTGGCGCAGAAGAAAAATTCCTGAACTGATCTTTCTACAGACAGAATCAATGTGGGGTTTGAAACACAAGTTCTCGTCCAACAACAAACCCAATATCATTGCATATTACCTATTGGAGGTATAAAAGAAATCTATCCCTAAAATTTGCTAATGTCTGTCTAAATGGGGTTTTTAATAATGAAAATATACCAAACAATAGGTTAATGTTTCTAAACCTAATACAATATTGCCATAGGCCTACCAATCCTATTTGTTTCTATAGAGAGTCAAGTTTTTACTGAGAGTAGGCCTACACTTATCTTTGTGGAAACAAAATTGAATAATTATAAAATCATTGTTAAAATTTGTAGTTTGCTATGTTTATAGTGCTTTGGTCTAAATGATGTTTCAACATTTTAAATATGAAAAGCAGTTATTCATTCTACGGGCACCGTTTCTTAACTGGGCTATGCTGATATCGATTGAAACTATCGATTCGATTAGTAAACCTTCATGCGATTATTTCACCATGAGCAAGTTTGGTTGGTTAGATTTAGATAGATAGTTACCCTACCGTGTCTTGTCACATTGCAAAAGCAAAGATTGAGTAAGTTATAACCGCAATAAGCATTTTATACTTAGCCTATTTGCCAACCCCGTACGAAGGACGGGTACTCTGCTAGTAATAACTTAGATATATTTAAAAATATCGATTATTAATCAATATTTTCATTTCGATAGTTTCAATCGATATTAGCGTAGCCCAGTTAAGAAACTGTATCCCATTCTATTCCAAATTTAAAAAAAATGTGTTAGATGGTTAAGTTAACTGAGCATAAGGGGATTAACTTTATCTCACCTACCCAGGTTCACTGTGAGCCTATCTTTAAGGCTGAATCCCTCATGACAGTGTATAATTGTTTTATCTTTCAGACCCTCATTAAAACTAAGGAGGAGGTGGGCGCTCTCGAGCTCAGGAGCGACATCCACTTGTTCAATACAAGAAGTAAACAGGATCTGAATATACCCTTTGTTAGGCTTAAGATACTACAAAGAAACTATGAAATTGTAAGCCTTAAACTATTAAATATGTTCTCTTCTACAGCCCGGAACCTTCCAAGTAAACAATTCAAAAGGGGCTTGGAATGTCTCCTCCTGGCCAACCCAATTGAAAGTATAGATGATTTTTTTAAATTGAAAAAAGAATATGTAAGTACTTTTTTTTACTGATGTTTTGCCGAGTGTGCTGTTTGGTTTTTCACTCTTTGCATGGCGAGTTTCAGGACTTTTTCATTTTTCACCTGACACATTATGTATTTCCTTTTTTTTAAATTAGGCTATGTGATATTGAAGGAATTGTTTTATTTAAAATATTTAATGTATATTTCATAATGTAATAGAATTAGTGACGTTTACCAATGACTTTGTACTTAAAGTTGTAAAGGAAATACATTGATCCTATATCTTATGTCAGGCACAACTTTGCCAAAGGTTTTTACAGGTATTGGACAGACCTTTTAACTGATTGTTTTTTTCTTGACACTAGGCCTAGTGTAATTTTTACAGGAGGTGTAAGTAATGTACAGTACTCAGAATACACTAAGGGAAAGTGGTCCAAACCCCATTATTTGTGTTGTCCGGATGTGAGTAATGTAACTTATTGTATTTGGATAAGTGTATTGTTACAATTGGTTTACTACGGTTTGGGCTAAAACTTTAACTTGTTGCCTTAAGTTACTAAGTTACAGTACATACAATTTTAAAAGGCAGAAGTCAAGTTAATTTCTTTGCCAATGTGACCGAAACATTAAATTTTTATATATGTATAGGTATACGTCCGTGAACGCGATAACTTGAGTAATTTTGGTCCATTTTGATGAAATTTGGTTTAAGGGTGTAAAGCGGGATAAACTTGAATGAGTTCGCGAACCAGCATGGTCGGACCATGGGAACGGGGCTTTGCGGGGGGTTTTATGGGGTAAAAATTGGTTTTTCTCACTTTTGACCCTCATAACACAAAATTTCCCAATTTCCCTTTAGAACTTTTTAAAGAGCTTAAAAAAACAAATAATTTAGTATATAAAAGTATTTTTATTCGGTTACCGTATTTGTAATGGAGAAAATTTAAGAAAATTTTTAATTTAGAATTCCCATGTTATTCTTAGCCTATAGAGAACTAGCAGTTACCCGGCGCGCGT